ATCTTCCAATATTTTCAGTTTTTATTATCTTAATTTGATATTCATCTGTTTCATTATCCATGAGAACAGAGAAAAGATTCTGTGCTCACTGCCCCACCTACCAAAGCATCCTACAATAGGAGGGCTACACTATTAAACAAGGATAGTGCAGCTATAATGTCCACAACACCCATTGAGAACATCCAACACTGAAATTCAGTTGACCCTAGCCACACAGGACCAGATGATTGACTCTGGGGGACCACCCCAAGGCCACCTGTCTGTAGGAATTCAAGGCCAAAATGATATGTTGTAGTGCCCCCCCCCAACACCACTCAAACACCAGAATCCTCTCCTCTCTTTCAGGGATCGACACGCCATGGGTGGATATTTGAATCGCAGAAGAGGTAAACTGTTCAGATAGAACCTTCCCTGGGAGGTCCCCTCACCATGTACATGAATCCACATCGAGGAGCTGTCGTCAATGTGAATCTTAAATATGATATATCACAAACAATGTATGACTTCACTACGAATATTAAAAATCATATGCGATTAAAGTTTTCACTTCACTGTTAATTTTAAATATGATATACAATGAAGAACAACACACATCACTGTGACTTTTCGACGTGATATACCAGAACCAGTGTCTAATGTTACATTCAGTTTAAAATGTGATACACCAAGAACTGTCTTTCCCCTCACTGCAATTTTAAATATGATATATCACTCACTGTAATATACCAAGAAGGTTGAATGACCTCACTGTGAATTTTCAGTGTAATATACAACGAACAGTGTCTGAATTGACAGTGCGTTAAATATGATATAGTTGGAACAGAGTCTAACCTCACAGTGAATTTTCATTGCGATATACCACGAACAGTTTCTGAACTCAATGTGAATTTTAGATGTGACACACCATGAACAATATATGATTAATTGTAAAATTTTAAATGTGATTTGCTATGTACAGTGTATGGCCTCAGTGTGAATTTCAAATGTGATATACGAAGAAAAGTGTGTGACTTCACTTTGAATTTTGAATGTGATACACCACGAACTGTGTATGATCGCACTGTACATTTTAAATGTGATATACCACAAACACAGTCTGACTTTACTGTCAATTCTACATGTGATATATCATGATCAGTATCTTATTTCACAGTGAATTATAAATGTAATATACAACGAACATTGTCTGACCTGAATGGGAATTTTTTCTGTTATATGCCACGAACAGTTTCTGAACTCAATGTGAATTTTAAATCTGATTTACCACGAACAGTGTCTCACCTCACTCTGAGCTTCAAATGTGATACATCACAAACAGGGTCTCACCTCACTCTGAGCTTTAAATGTTATACACCATGAACAGTGCTTGACCTTACTGTGAAATTTACACGTGATATACAAAGACCAGTGTCTGACCTCAGAGTGAAAATAAAATGATATATTACAAAAAAGTGTCTGACGCCACTGAGAATTTTCATTCTGATACACCAGGAACAGCTTGATCTCATTCTAAACTTTATGTGATATACTACGAACAGTGTTTGACCTTACTGCGAATCTGAAATGTGACATACCACGATCAGTACCTGACTTCAGTATTTGATTTAATTGACCCCACAGTGAGTTTGAAATATTGTATACCACGACACAAATGTACACCTAAAAATTGCATTAAGTACAATTTATTGAATATTGCATGATCTCACTTGATGTAACCTTAAAACAAAATAATAAACACGTTCGATCAATTATAAAGAATGTCTGACCCCTTAAGATCTTTTACTAGTAAAAAAAAAAGCTGTTGAATACAATTAATCGGGAACTACGTCTGACCTTATGAAGTCTATTACTAGATGTTAATATTAATTTCAACCACAAATATTGTCTGACTTCATTAAATCTATTACTAGAGAATAGAATTAAATACGGTCAAACAGTAGGTGGATAACTTTAGCCTCTTTGGATCTTAACTAATTTCCATGCACTTAATATCAGAATATCTGGTTGTCTCGGTTTCAGTTTTATGTAGATAATGTGAATGAATTCCTTGAATTCCGATCCCGTTGCTAAGAGATTACAAGTATACTCGTTTGTTAATTCGAATAATCGTTATAGTAAACATGAGAGTTATTCAAATTTCCAAGTAAAATTCCCCTTCTTTACTTTCACACCCAAATCTTTCTATAATTTATTTGTATGAGTATATTAGAACGTTTGTTTGTTTCAGTGAAAAACTACACAATAGGCTATCTGCGCTCTGCCCGTTACGGGGAATCGAACACCGTATTTTGTAGTTGTAATTCTGTAAAGTTACCGCTAACACACTGGGGGACTATATTAGAATGAAATGTTATGGTCTCCTCAATCAGAATCTTCATTCAAAAACTACTTTTTCAAAATAATACTGCAATCTAACTCCCAGACCTTCTTCGATCACACGTTCTCTTTAAATATCAAATAATTTAGTAATAACATGCGTCAAAGAATATGCAGTCGTAATTAAAAATATGTCTAATATTAGATAGTAGATAGAAAATTGTAGGAAAAAATTTTACATTCTTTAACATGCAGAAATTAAAACATGTGGGTTTTGGATGTTGGCAAGAATGTTCTTCAATACGATGGTAACTGACACTGAGAAAATTGTTGCAGATAATATTATAATTAACACGTCCCTCAGGAGCCAAGGGGTGTCTTTACATTACAATTTGTTGAATATTCAAAGTAAGTTCAATCCGAAAACTCCTAAAGAGGGTGGGTTTGGATGTATGTTTTCGAGACAAGTTTTTGTTTGTTAATCGATAATTTTTAAGTGAAATACAGCATCCTCAAGTCTCCGTACTAGCTAGTACTACGGTCTAACCGCTGGAGTAAGTTCGGTATATATATCAATAAAGCCACATCTTCAGCATCATTAATTAAGCAATTGCTAATCTTTTATGCTTCTCCTATCACCTTTTGATGTTCAGCTTTCAATTGAGAAACGAACGATTTCAACTGCGATTCGGTAGGGAAGGTCGAACCATCGCGATAGTCAGCAGTAGGATGAGCAGACAAGAACACTTTGAAAGCAGCTACATGCATATTATTGTACTCGGTTCGCTGCACAATATCTACCAAGGTGGTTCTAAACGATTCCTGAATACTTCTGTGTGTCATGTGGAGACTTTCATGCTTCTTATGCCTGGCCCTTAAGATCGTGATGCGCTGACGAATTTCAGTCACCTTACCACTTCAAATCATTTTTCGCAGCCCCAACGCTAAAAGAGTGCGCGAAATGCATTCTTTTTAGCCAATCAATATGTCCAAAATATTTCATTCAAATAAAGAAAAATCGTATTGGGTAGTTTTTGTTTGTTTTTTCAACAAAAATGTCCCCCACTGGCTAGTGATGGGCCTGTTAATAAAACTTTTTACCTTAGTAATAACTGAACGATATAGTAACTATAGAGTTTCCTCTCCCTCCTCTGATAAAGACAGATCCATCTGTCAACTTTGTTTGTTTTAAATTTCGCACAAAGGTACTCGGGGGCTATCTGCGCTAGACGTCCCTAATTTAGCAGTGATAAGCTAGAAGGAAAACAGCTAATCAACACCGCCAATTCTTGGGCTACTCTTTTTCCAAAGCATAGTGGGATTGACTGTTAAATTATAACGCTCCCACGGTTGAAAGAGCGAGCATGTTCGGTGACTGTGATTCGAGCACACGACCTGCAAATTGCGAATCGCGCACCCTAATCACTAGGCCTACACCTATCGAAAGAGCTTGGGATTTTATTACTCTCTTTATTAAATGATGGTGACTAGAGAACTATTATTTAACATAGTGATGATCATTGGGAGTAATTTTGTTATAAGAGGTTATGATGAAAGGCTCTTTATTTATTAACATCTACGATAACTTTTAACCACATAGTAACTACAGCAGAGTTTGTTCTGGAGTTTTTGCAACAGGTAGCTAAAATAGCCTTTAATGATTCGATAGTAGTGTTACGACAGTGGAGGTCACGTGACTCTGCTGGCTCGTTTGGCTGGTAGCGTATGTGAAATTTCTCGAATGATCATGAATTTCCTAGTGCATTCGAGACGCCCTCTTTTTTAATATATAAGCTTGGCAGAGAAAGCCTGCGGGATGATTGAATGAAGAGAGTTCCGGGTTATTTACGATTCTGTTTCGAGCTAGTGTGTATTTTGTTATTGAGATTGTGAAATTACTGTTTGCTAAAAGTTTGTATCGAGGGAGAATAAACTGATTTAACCAAGAAAGGACTTGTATTGCTAAAGTTTCTCGGAAATAATTTCTACTGGAAATTAACAAACAAGCAGATACACAACAGTAACTATCGAATAGGAAAGGTTCGCGAAGGACATCAAAACTTTGTTAACAATAAAGATGTACTGATGACATGTTGGTTATAAATATTCCTTCTATATTAAGGTTATTTTACAATAGTTTATACACAAAATTTAAATTATATTCAAACACAGCAAGTCGAAACAATGTAAGAGAACATTTTGTTTCTGAGATGCAGCTTATTTTTCCGTAGACAATTAAGGAAATTTAGAAAATCAGCATATTACCTTATACCTTTGAATAGCCACTACATAAGTCAACTTTATAATCACTACTCATTTCTCTTTTTTAGGTCGTAAATATACATAGGTTGTCAGCAGAACCTACAGCTACGTGTATCAACGATATAAAATACTGTCTTTCCTTGAAAGTTTCATCTTAACCTTATATCATGTTTTTACTTTTTATTTTTATACCAACACAAAAGTATATTTATCCTCCTATTGGTATAATGTCATGACTTCTCATGCCAATCACACATTAAGATTAGATAAATGTAGCTACCAGGATGTTACATGTAACATCTAACAATTTCTATACAAATAAGAATTTGTCGGTAGTTTGTACACGTTAAAATTTTGCGGTCTTAAAGGACGATACAAAACAAACCGTTCATTTTCAATAATATTATGTACAACATACTCACGGATTTTGTTCGTCTTGCACACTTCAACAAACTTTCGAAAGCTCAGCTACTACTACACTTAGATTCAACAAGTTGACACTGTTTTGTGTAAAAGCAGAATGTATGTAGGAGTTTATGGCCCACAGCTTCTCAGCCACTAGCTGTGTAGTCAACATGTTTACTGAATATTATAGTTATACTTATTTTTTTCTCAGAGATTTGGCATAGTTAAGTAGATTTATTAATACCCACAAGACATGGCGTTTCTCTAAAACAAGTCTAACAATCTCGATCTAAACCCAACAGAAGCGAGTTATTTTACTATACACTCGCGTTCGAATACCCTCGGAATACGTCTTGTATTATAAGGCTGGTGCCATCTAGTGAGCTTATGGTAAAAAAAAAACTATATTAATGCATTATTTAACATAATATACATTGTAAAACTTTAATTTCTAAGATATAAAAAGAGACGAAAGCTTATGTAGGGATTGAAAAAGCTTCATTAACTTTACTTTGTGAACTTCATTTTCTTTCAGTCGTTAACATTAAACTTTCTTATCTTATGTGCGATTATATTTTTTAACAAAAGAAAAATAGGTCACTCTCAATGGTTGTCCTGTGGTGCTTTCATATACTCAAAAGTTATGTCCCTGCTAAAGGATATAAAATGGGTAACTAAGTTGACAGTTACAATGGTATAATTCCACTGGTAAGAAAATATGCAATAATTATAGGGAGCACCAACGTGATCTTACTGTCACAGCGATTAACATAATGCTCTAAGCCCAAGCTCAAATAGTTACAATTAATTTCCTAGAAGAGATTGTTTGTTTGTTATGGATTTCGCGCAAAGCTACACAAGGACTATCTGCGCTAGCCGTCACTAATTTAGCAGTTTAAGACTAGAGGGAAGGCAGCTAGTCATCACCACCTACCGCTAACTCTTGGGCTACTCTTTTACCAACGAATAGTGGGATTGACCGTCACTTTATAACGCCCCCACGGCTGAAAGGGCGAGAATGTTTGATGGGACGAAGATTCGAACCCGCGACCCACAGATTTCGAGTCGAGCTCCCTAACCACCTGGCCATGCCGGGCCCCTAGAAGAGATAAATAAAAGCTGGGTATGAGAAGTTTAATAATTTAATATATCATTATGGGTTTTATTAACTTTACTTTCCTTAGCGTTAAATTAATGTAAATTATTTGACCTTCTTCCGTGTGAATCGTTAACAACAGAATTAGTAACATTGTACAAGAGTTCATACATTGAACTCAGCTAAGTGGTTATTTTTTTATTTTGTAATCGTGCATTGAAACAACTGTTCAAATATTTCGGTGTCTATATTCAAGGTTTCAGATTTTCATTAACTATTGAAATAGCTTTTAACCGACAAAAAGTACGAGTTGAAGAGTTGAGTGAAATGTGACACGTACTTTCGCAAGTAAAGTTTCACACGCACACGAAAGCTGTGATCTACTTAGCACAGTGTTTTTAGTTTGTTTGTTTTAGAGCAAGGCTACATTAGGCTTTCTGTTGTGTCCACCGCGGGGACTCGAACCTCTAATTTTAGATTTACCGTAGTGTTTCAAACGGCAGTTTTGATTATACTGTTGCGTATCTGCTTGTTTGTTAATTTCCGGTACAAATTCTTTCCGAGAAACTTCAGCGATACCAGTCCTTTATTGGTCAAACCAGTTTATTCTTCCTCGAGCACACATTACTTTTAGCACACAGTAATTTCACAATCAGTACGTCACAGCGATTCACAATCTCGATAACAAAGCACACACTAGCTCGAAACAGAATCATAAATTGCCCGGAACTCTCTTCATTCAATCCCGCAGGCTTTCACTGCCAGGCTTATATACGAATGAAAGGGGTGTCTCGAATACACTCGAGCCTCCCCGATCATTCATGATCATTCGAGAAATTCATCACGTGTTACCTGTGTCACGTGACGTCCGCTGTCGTAACACTGCCCCTTCCTTATTATTGTTCGTCCCGAACAATAGCCACTTACATTACACCAATAGATAATTACCAATAACTTACTTAAATGTACAGAA